GTAGCAGTACGATAACTGAAGATAAGGAGCAAAGGAACTAAATGATAAACAATGACGTTCTCTTGAAACAGGTTACAGCAAGAAATAAGAGAAACATAAAAAGATTTTAAAAAATTAACATTAAGGCTTTCCTCTTTTAGGTTCAGCAAATGCTGTATTTGCATTTTTTTTTCAACTACAGCAATAAAGGAAAAGTTTGTAAATCGACCATTAGGTGTTGTCAAATACCATGTGCTAGCAAGGTCGTACGCCCAATCAACCATGATACATTCACAGGATACCTATCAATGGAATTCATCCTAGTTATATTTTGTTGTACACAAATGTCGCATGTACTGTATACTCAAACTATGGGTTCAACAACTACTTCAAGAGAAAGGAAAGGGAACGTCAATTACTCGGATCATCTCACATGTCGGTATCTATAGGATCGGGTACAAGCCACATAGCTGAACTTCACAACATATACATGGATATTTTAATAAACTAAGGAAGCTATAAATGAATGGATGTCAACAATATATTATTCAGTAAAGTATCTACCACCAACACTTCATATTAAACAGATAAAGATATCCTGCAAATTATGTTTCCTTAATGACAGTTTAAAGTTTGTAGTGCAAACTAGAGAGTTGTATTCACTGTTAAAAAAATAAAACAACTTGTTACTCAATTTGTAAACTACATAAATGCCATAAAAATGTAATTTAATTCTTATACAAGTGCAAACATGTGCTTATATCCTTAATCATTCACACATGCTTTACCCAATATATCTATCAATCATCACATTCTTACGTTTCACCATTGCTACTTCACTAAAAACAAGAGAGAATCCTTGAGCCGAGAAACTTGAAATTATTTTAGGCAGGATTAGAGTAAATTAATGTATGAGACCTTGGGCGTGGTCAAACACATCAAAAGGATTTGATCACCTGAGTCCAAAACAGTAATTAGGTTCTTGAAAGAGGGAATCCAACAAGTGTTTGGGATTTTCTCAAAGGGAATGATCAAGAATGGACAACACGTGATTGGTTGATAAGGTTTGTATCTTGCAACTAGTCTGGCCACAGGAATTGTAATTACATTGCCATTAATTCATCATTTTGTGACTTGAGCTAGATGAGCAGAGGTTCTTTTTCAAATGCTGCTTTGTTTAATAAGCTGGTCACTCATACAAACATAAAAAGCCTTGCTGAAGAACAGCAGGAAATTCGGCAGCAACTGCCAACTTACAGCTAGACAATTAACTACAAGCATTGATTACACTAATGTCACATAAAAATTATAGTTAAATTAGTTAACATCATAAAGATAATCAATAACCAAAATCAGTATTTCCAATAATTACTATTTTAGATTATTGCCAACTATCCAAGTTAATATGCAAAAACCGATTAGTGTTCAATGATGAGTCTAATGATCAATAAATAAGCAAATTCTACTAACTGCTCAGCTCTAGTGATCATCCCTATAAATATGAACACCACATGACAAATATTGCTATAACTTGTCTTGGTGCAAGAAGTTTACAAATCTGGACTCAGGAGGGTGAAGATTGGATTCCATCTAGTCACTCTGCCATTACAATCCATGCTATGAACATAACTTCTGATGGTAATGGAATAAGGTACACATGTCCTGCAACAGCTGTTTTATTTGGGTCATTCTCCAGAAACAGTTGTTTTCTAATGTGACTAACTGCAGCCACCCTATTCACCGAAGAGCAGTATTACATGTAACTGGGTAATTTCTTGCTTTGACTTCCCTCCTATCTATCATCCAAGTACACAATCTCATGAAATTAACAAGATTCTTTCTTTTGTGGAATTGGCTCTTTGTATTATGTGGTCTTTATCCAGCTATACTTACATAATGTCATGGAGATGGTTAATTTGTATTCAAGGTATTTACTTATTACTTACTTATATGCTGTGTATATATATATATATGTATATTGAATACCAGGATTGGACATTTGACTGGTCAAATATTGTCATACAATTTCAAATGTGGTCAAACTTTATTAATTAGTTGGACATTTGACTGGTCAAATATTGTCATACAATTTCAAATGTGGTCAAACTTTATTAATTAGTTACTGATTCTTTTATCATCACAACTGCATACACTTGAATTTTACTTAATTTAATGTAAATAATACAAATTACATTAAAATAAAATCAGTTTATGGTTTGTCTCCAGCCTTCTGACAACAACAAACCAGCACTATATATACAGAACCACATTTAAAAGCCATTATACGATACAAGTAAGTTTTTAATAATATACCACTATTATGAAGTAACATTACAAGCTTTTAAAAAATCCACTATTGGCTGTATAAATCTGAAGAATATTACAATATGGCATGGTATAACGCCACTTATAAAGGTTTCAGCACATGAAGAGCAGGAAACCATTAAACATATACATTATAGAAATATGTAAAAAATATTAAGCTATGACACAAACATTTTTTTCATTATTTGAATTAAACACTCAGAACAGAGTTAACAAACAAACAAATCTCTACTAATATATGGTTACTTAAGTCTTTTAGATTAATAGTAAACTGAAGAACGTTGATTTATAAGCATAACAAAGTGGTTTATTTTGTGGAATGTACTACACGTTTTGAAAGAACATTAATTTATCTTCTGAAGAAGACAGATCAATGTCCTGTCAAAAATATGATGTATGTTTTCCAAAATAAAACTACTTCATTAGGCTTATAAATTATTGTTTGTCAATTTAATATTATATTAACATAACATGTTTTCATATGCAAGTACCTTTGAGATTATTTGACCATTTAAAAAAAATAAACAGTCAACTCAATTTGATATACAAGTAAATTTAAAGGCTTCACTTTTTGGACATAACCCATGGTAACAACTTATTAGATGTATTATTTACAAATAACACTTTTAATTAAACACAGTCACAGTTTCCTTCTTTATATTGTGGCAAATAATATTATTATTATTATGCTTAAGCTGATACATGCATGTTTTGGAGTACTGTTTGCCAAAGCAGGCCTACTTGCATTGTTCCATTTCTGTGTTATGTTGCATAAATATTGTTTATCTACTAAATTTAAATACTTAGCAAAGTAATAATAAAATATCAGAATAATGAAATTATTGTTTCAGTGGAACTTGAGGCCAATATAGTAGGTTTGTAAACTAGGAAATTATTACCTATATATTTAAACTGATCTGGAAAAAAAAAATTAAATTTTATTAAATATAGTTTCCACTGTTTTACAGCTACAATTAGAACAATGTTATCAGTATTTTATATTTTGCATAGAACAAACATTGGAACCCTGCTGCTACTTGATATATATATAGTCTGCAGCACGATTTACAGTCATGTACTTAATTAATATCCAGTAGTGAACCTTTATTTCCAGAAGCAAATTTTAATTTTATTAATCTTATGTCTATGTACAGTCGTGGACAAACCTAATTTGATATCAATAACATTAAAGAAGTTCATAATACATATTATCATTAGTAGTGGTGTTTTAAGATTTATACAAGTGTAAAATTTGAAGTAATTGTACTAATCTGGACATGCAATACTTACTACTAAGATTTTTAAATACATCAGGACTAATACACAGAAGTAACAAATTATGACGTACAACTGAAAATGTGTAAATAACACCTAGCCTAAATAATGATGTATACCTAACAAATACCTATTATACAAGACTTTTACGATTGTAATACAGCAGAATTGTGAATATAAAACAACTTATTAACTGCTTGTTCCTTTATCAGTGTCATTAAAGAAAGTAAGTAGCAGCAGAGAACGTACAGATCCCAGAATTACACCACTTGTTACTTCTTGTGAAAAGAAAGATGTAATTTAGTTTGATGTGTAATACGTCACTCACCACTAATAACTTAAAATAATTTAGGTGTGCGGATAACATGACATGCTGACACAATTAATTAATTATTCAGCAGACTAACTGGTTATTTATTTCCTTCATTAAAATGAGAATTTCAGCAAAAACATGAGGTACAGATCTAATTCAGTAAATCAAAAAAATATATTAGGTTTTTATGACACTGAAATTTATATTTTGGTGAAGAAAAGAAATTAACAAATAAAGAGGTGATCTCGTAGTTTATACAACTATCTGGGGTTTGATAGCCTAAAGACCTCTGATTTATTTGTTCTATATTCTGATGACAACAGGATGAGAAGACAGCTTTTAAGATTTGAAAAGAGAAAAACGTTAGGTTCTAGTTAAGAACTGTATTTTTCTAAAGGGGTAATTAGCTTCTGGGATGAGTTGCTATTGGCAGCAGTGGAGGCCAACACTTTTCAAGAGTTTAAAAAGGGGGAATCAATAATTTATTGAAACATAAATGGAATATTTAAGTTATTAGTTTGTGCAGGGAATAAGGACAGCCTTTACATTTAAGGATAAAGGCTTCAAGACAATGTATGTTAACTACTGATGTTACAAACAGGAGTTGTAAAATTTGTTTTACTTTAAAAAAAGCTAGTATAGAGGTAGCTTTATTGATAATAATAAGAGTACTCGTGGTAGAGCAAGTAGGGATTTGTTTTAATTTCATTAAACTTTCTCATGCACCCCCAGGATAAATTCTGACCTCTCCCAAGTTAAAGAACCACTGATCTGGAACGAAAAAGAGATAGAAAATCAAAAACGTTTATTCCAATTTTCATACCCACGGAAACAGCAATGTGTAGCCTTTGAACTTGAAGTTTCACACGAGAAAACAAAACAAAAAAGGCCATCAAACTTTACTAACAACGTGCAATGCAAACAATCTCTACGTTAATAATTAACAAAAAAAAACAGTAGGAAGAATATATCTTTCAGATTAAATTATAAGCTTGAAATAAAATAATAATTACTATTAACAACACTCCATTCCAATAAAACTTAAATATGACTATAATTATAACAATTAACATGAACATTTTGCTTTATAATCACTTCCAAATCTTACCTTAAATTTGTAGTCTGTAAAATCAAATGAGCCAATTTTTCGCAAATGAGACACAGAACGCCATAAACCCCACACGTCCTAACCCGATCACTGCAAATCTCGAACTACTGCCTGTCGCTGTCACAAAACATTTTGCCGTATACATAAAAATGTCACCAGGTGTCGCTACTTCATTGCAGGTCATAGATTTAGTGAGAGTAATAAAAGATCAATACATTTACGCGGCGGCATCACTTGTATACTATTATATATTTTCAAGGTCAGTATGTAAAAAAAAAAAAACTTCGCTATTAAACTAGATTTTCGGTACAGTCACCATTAAACTACACTGTAGCTGTTTTCCGTTTGTGGTAATAAGCTATAAAAACTACAATATTTGAATTAAGCAAATGACTAACTTAGTTCACAATTAAAATGTATATCTATATATATTTTTTTCATAGATTCTATGTTTCGACTTTCGGTATCATTATATTGGATTATTTTTAACAATTCTAAAGGTATATTTAGGATAAACAGAAAACTGTTAAAAGAACGGTTGAAACCCATAAAAAACATACTGAAACAGTAATTGTTGTATTTATATTAATAATACAATATAATAAAACAAAAATTTGGAGAAGTATATTTTGTCAAGAGATAGTAAAAGCAATAATAGCAAAACATTCATATAGCATAACTTACGAACAATAAAGAGACTATTTCGTTCTTCAAATCTGCTCGAACTCACCCGTTCTTTACTTTTAACTTTGTACGAAAATCATCGATTTCCTTCTTGTAAAGTGCTGGCCTCCACTATTGCCGACGGCAACTCATTCCATAAAGTACATGGGTGATTCTGCGGTAAGTTTAGGGAATCACAACGCTAAAATCAGAGATTCATTCGCGTAGTTTTGCGCTAAAACAAATAAACGTTCTACAAATTAATCCATGCTTTAAAAATAAAGTTGTCTTAAACCTAGCCTGTTTTTTTTCCAAATGTTAAATAGCACGAATAAAACAGGGGTTTTAATCCTATCGATACCCCCATAATCTTATAAAGTTTAATATGGTTTGTTTGTTTGAGGTTAAGTACAAAGGCACACGATGGGCTATCTGTGCTCTGCCCACCACGGGTATCGAAACCCGATTTCTAGTCTTGTAAGTCCGCAGACATACCACTGTGCCACTGGGGGGGGGGGGGGGCTTTAACTTATTCCTGTCAATTAACCATTAAATTCCGGAATAATTCTAGTAACCTTTTCAAGTACGTCAGTATCCTTTCTTAGATACGAAAACCAAACCCGTATACAGTATTCTAAGTAAGGCCTAACTAGTGACTGGTATAGAGAGGTAATCACCTCTTTTAACTTGTAATCAGTATGTCAACTGATACATGCTAAAATCTTATTACTTCTACCGCTAGCAACTAAACGGTTCTTCAATGGCTATCGTGACTTATCCATCATTATGCTAAGACCGATCTTTTTCTTCAATCAAGCTTGTGAGTTGCGTTCAGTATATATTAAACGTGTGATCAAATTTATGATAGCCAAAATTAAGTACCTTGCACTTACTACAACTACAGGTCATTTACCAGATATTTTCCAGCTTAACAATTGATCTAAATAATTCTGTAATACCTCAAGCTTGATACACCTAGACCTAACCAAGAGTTTAATGTCATCAGGTAACTAACTTTACCAATTTACTAATTATACCCCTATAAATATTATTAATGTAAGAAAAGCTCAATAACTGATCCCCGAGAAATCCGGTTTTAATGTACTCCAAACTGTTTGCTTTTTCAATGCCATCCAACCATCCTACTACCCCATAAACTTGAATAATCTAAAACAAAAACTTAATAAACTACGAAACAAGCTATTTGCGATCTCAATTCATTTAATTTTTTTTCAAAAAAACCTCTGAACAATTTTTATAATGTGTTCCTACTCCGTTTGTTAATTGATTTTCCGTAAATTC